TTAATGGCATTGGTGACACGATGGTGGTGCACGCATGTGGGTGTCTTAATGTCGGTGGGAAATACTTCATCTGACCACTGGCTATATAAACGGATAGCAAGAAAAATATGACAATAGATTAGAGGGAGATTGACAAACCATGCTGAATTCTCCTTATCAAACACGTTCAACATCGTGGCAACCACTACCCCTTTCTGCCGGCGTATATCACCTCTGTTGTGTTTGTAGCGTGTTGCACCATTGTGTCACGTTGTCCTGTACACTGTCACGTTGAGTCTTACTACAACATTGAATATGTTTTAACATTCATAATATCCTGGCATGTCACGTTTCAGTTTAATACACTTCAGCGATGTTTCATTTTAGTCTTTATCACAATGGGTTAAATACTAATTAAATACATTCAATAGTTCAATAAAATCATTTGGCACTTAATTGTCTATAATCATCAACCGTGACTCCACAGCATTTAGGGTAGCTTAGTAGTTTAAGAGAAGAGAAGAAGAAGAGAAGAAGAAGAAAATATTTTTATTTTTGTGTCACATGTTATATATAAAACATACATAAACTTTAAAACATTCAATAAAATATAACATCCGACCATATGGCCTATGAGACACAAGGCACTATATTATATCTAAAACAGATAGTAGTAAATAAAATATAAAATTTAAGACCTCCTTCAGCATGCTGAAAGACGGGGATTGATTCCTTCCATCATTAAATTTGGGTACAGACCATTCCTGTTTTTCCTCCATTTTTTGCTGGAAATTTGCTAACGAGCGGGCAAACTCACGCCAACTCACACCATCAATTACGTATTCACTGAAGTCGGAGCCTCGTTAATGTTTTGTGGAGTTTTCTGTTATTAAGCATCAGACCCCGTTTACATCTTTTTACTACATTCCTGGAAATATTCCTGACACAACTCCTCATTCTTTATCAACAGGGATTAATTTGATAGATGCAATATCATATGAAAGTTATAGTATCAGTCTGTCATACAGACCCTGAAGCAAATATATCCATGCAAGTCTAGAATATGTGGCAAGTCTAGATTTTATCTGAAAATGAAGAAGGTCTCAGGGTTCCTTGTCATTATATTTTTTTACTGTGAATTGTTTTTTTCTTCTCTAAAATATGTTCGTTTCAGAGACTAGTTGTTAGTCTATTACAGTATTAGCTGCTTAAACTTGATTTACATCCTTAATTCGTTACAATTCGATGATTGGCTGAGATGCTTTCTGAGTCATTAATAAAAGACACATGGACAATGGAAGGCGTGCAGATAATAACCGGAAACGTCATTATGCGGTCTTTGTTCTGAAGTGGTAAAGGCTTACGTCGTCCCACCCTGTGACCTGCCGTATCCCGCTGGGTGGGTCTGCAGGATGGGGTGGGGACTCACTGATGCTGTCATAACATCATACGATTAAATATGCAACCACCTCATCACATATAGATTTGCATGGGGTCTAAAGAATAATGTGTCACTAGCGGGTCGCATATGACGTAAACAATGTCATTATCTCCCCGTAACATCCGGTACAACATGTCGACGTGGATCGGTGCGAGTCGGGAACAATGTGTGGTCAACTTCCCATGTTTTACTTCATTTGTGAGACGTGGTAGATTAAGTCTGTTTCTGTTACCGTCAGTGTCGGGGCGCTGTCTTGTTACGGGGCGGAAATGTCACGGGATCAACCTCACGGCTGTTCTCGCGAGAACCAACGATGACATAACACAGAGATGATACATTGTCGCGATCACAATAACGACGTCATCTTCTGTGAAAACACAGCTACCTCTGACCAATGCACATCGCCTGCAGGCATTTCGGGGAAAAAGATGTTTTTAATCCATATTCTAAACAGAAACACTACGTGTGTTTCTCTGCTTCTTTCAGGGAGTTACGAAACATCCTGCTTAACGAGTTTAACGAGTCCTATGTCAGAATACTTGAAGGTTCTGTACGTTTTAGAAAACAAAAGCAAAATATTTCCCCTTCTATACTTTTTCATATGCAGATCTTAAGAGTATCATCTTGTCTGAACATAGTTTACTGAAAAGAAACCATTTGTTATCTAACTTTGGCAAAAACGTATTACAAATGAGCAAAGAAATCAAGCTTTGCCAAATATATAGTATACACTTGCATGGACTGTTTGTGTTTCATTTTAGTTTGAGGGTCAAGATAGGGGTGTTTGGGGGTATGTCATTGGCTATATAACTTTCATTTTTTACTGAAGACCCCGATTTAAGTAACATTAAAAGTGTTTTTGTCATTATCCCTCTTCTCGACCCTCTAGCAATACTAATTCACCAGTCCCTAAAAACTGACCGAAATTGTAAGTGTAGTCATTGGATACACAGAACTGTGTCAATGTTACACACAACCCACCCGTCCCCTACTCCTTTCGTCCCGTTGCCATGTGTAGATCGATGCTCATGATGTTGATCCCTGGATCGTCTTGCCCAGGTTGACTATTTACAGACCATCGGTCATAGAGGTATAATATTACTATGTGCTGCGATAAAGCAACAATAGTGAGAGAGTCTAGTTTTACGCCGCTTTCAGCAATATGCCAGCAATATCACGGCGGGGGACACCAGAAATGGGCTTCACAAAGTGTGCCCATGTGGGGAATCGAACCCTGGTCTTTGGCGTGACTAGCAAACGCTTTAACCGCTAGGCTACCCAACCGCCTCAATACTGATAGTGATGACCACGAAGTGTAGTACTAACGTGTACTATCTTAATCTATACTGTGCTTCTAGTAAGAGTCGGGGCGGTGGGGTAGTCTAGTAGTTAAAGCGTTGGCTCGTCACGCCGAAGACCCGGGTTCGAATCCCTACATGGGTACAAGTGAAGCCCATTTCTGGTGTCCCCCGCCGTGATTTTGCTGGAATATTGCTAAAAGCGGCGTAAAACCAAGCTCAGTCAGTCAGTCTAGTAAGAGTCATTTAAGTGAAGGTTTCAAAATTTCTTCACGTCACTCTCTTGTGACTTCAAGTCTTGTAACGATTTAGGTCATGAAGAACCTGCTGTGACTATTTCCAGCTGAAATATGTGTGAGTAAGCAGTACAAGTCAGAAATAAAACGACGAGGACTCGTTACTTTGCAGAATTTCTCACCGGGCTTGACCTGGAGGTCGGATTAACACATAGCTGAGTGATGACTTGAGAGGATACCGGTCACCATAATGTCTTCTGTAGACATATGATATAGGTAAAACAACTTCCCATGTGAAGGTAGCCTACATCAACACATCAGCTGATGGAATGTCTACATTTAGCTCTAATGGAACAGCCTGATGAACCACGTCTATTGTTGTGGTGATGGACTGAAGCTGGGTGGATATTTCTGGGTCAGAGAGTTCCGGGTGTGGTTCTGCGGTTAGCTGAATAGGATATAAGTATAATACACCCTGTGTCATCTACATTCCTGGTCTGTGACCCACTGATACAGTGAACAATTTGCATGGTGTTTCTGTCACTGGTGGTAGGTGAGTTGATAGTCGCCATCAGTATACTTGGCTGATGAAGGGCCGTAGATAGGGAGACATACACGGGGGATTCAACACCTGGACACGCGTCAAGTGTTTACCTACATCTCCTCGGGCTCCTTGTTATCTTAACCCTTGGCTAATATTTTCTTTGAGAAGGAAATGTGTGTATGTCTGTTAAAATAACATAGAATGCTTGTGTTGAATAATATGAGGCCTGAGGAGGTCTTGGGAGGAGGGTAGCCAAGTGGTTAAAGTGTTCCCTCGTCACGACCGAGTTCGATTCCATTTGTACAGCATGTGGATCTCATTCGTATTATCTTACTGAGTTATTGCCATATGCAGCATTAACACTTGTTCACACTTTCCCATTGTTTTGATAGTTCTGTCGGGTACCCATGACTGACTGACTGAGTTTGGTTTTACGCCGCTTTTAGCAATATTCCAGCAATATCACGGCGGGGACACCAGAAATGGGCTTCACTCATTGTACCCATGTGGGGATTCGAACCCGGGTCTTCGGCGTGACGAAGCCAACGCTTTAACCACTAGACTACCCCACCGCCCCCGGGTACCCATGAACGTTGAAGGTACAGTTATGTGATTTGAAGGTCTTGGTTTGGGATCAGTACGTACGTACCCACGCATACACTGACAATACAATTTCGGGTTAAAACTTTAAACCATCTTGTTAGGTTAACTCGGAGAAGAGCAGGTGCACTAGCATTTAGGATAAGTCATCATCCTTCTCGTTGTTATGACACCGTTGAAACCATGACAAAGCAGTTGTCTGCGCTTAATGGGGTCGTGACTTTGCTTAGGACTGAATTAGTTACGTATAACGCCTATGTATTTTTTTCATATATATTTACCTTAAGGTTATGAAGACCCGTGAAGATCCGGGGTAGAATAGGTCTTCAGCAACCCATGTGCTTGCCATAAAAAGCGACTATCTTGTCGTAAGAGGCGACTAACGGGATCGGGTGGTCAGTTTCGCTGACTTGGTTGACACATGTCATCGGTTCCCAATTGCGCAGATCGATACTCATGCTGTTGATCACTGGATTGTCTGGTCCAGACTCGATTATTTACAGACCGCCGCCATATAGCTGGAATATTGCTGAGTGCGGCGTAAAACTAAACTCACTCACTCACTCACTAAGGTTATGAATGCCACATACGTTATCACCTTTGAGGAAATATGTTGCTCAGCAACAGAGGGTCATAATCGGCGCGATCTCGACTTCGTACCCAAAGCAATAGGATCCTGGCGCCGCTAAGGGAAGTAATGTTGTTCATGTTAAACTGTAACTTAAGATCAGTTAATCTTGACACATATTCTGACTGTTGACTGAACTGACTGATAATAAATGCATTTGTTACACGCTATTTTCCATTCGTTACGGTTGCTCAAAGCGCAGAATAACAATCTGATTATTACCCCGGATAACCAAAGCTGCCTATGAGGGGCTAGAAGGTTAATGATTACATGTGCTTCGTCCTGAAGTCCTAGAAACTCTTAGGAGTCAAGCTGCCAAGCCCGGTCCCCATCCAAAGACTCTCCGCGCCCAACGTTGCTTAACTTCTACTGATGTGTGACCTGAGCTTTATGCACAGGAACTTCCATTTACACTCAGACTACTATCAGCATCATCACAGGTATAGAATAGCACAATACGTTCCAACAACATAATACATATTCATATAGATACGGGATAGATATTAAACATCCGTACCGACCATACAAACAGATTCACCAACGTAGCGATATCTGTGCATACCAGTAATACACAGTTACATGATAGGTTTACACAATGATATGATGATTTTACAAAATGTAGACAATTTTCTCAATGTTCAAAGTGGACACCTACGTCAGGAAGTATACAAAGTGGACACCTACGTCAGTAAGGATACAAAGTGAACACCTACGTCAGTAAGGATACAAAGTGGACACCTACGTCAGTAAGGATACAAAGTGGACACCTACGTCAGGAAGTATACAAAGTGGACACCTACGTCAGTAAGGATACAAAGTGGACTCTTTCTTTCGGTTAAAGATATTTTTCCACCATCTCCCAGTTTCACTTGGCAGATTCTGGTTACGCATTCTAATTTTAAGTAAGCCTGCCAAACATTTCCCTGCTTTATTTAGTTATTGTTCAGAATTTCGACATTTATGTTTTATGATACTTTACATTATTGTCCTGCGTCTATCCAACACTGCAGAATTTTGTAATTTAATTTTTCATGGACTAGTGTTTAGTTCAGTAGCATTCTTAAAATTTTGTAAAAAAGCAGAGTTTAAAATGGTTCTTTGATGTATCTAATCTATTAACGTTCACACTTTCCATATACGTCGTCTTCGAACAATAACTTGTATACAAAAAAGATATTTTACATAATTTGTCATAGAATGTTATTCCTAAACAGGTAGAACTGTACTACTGAGCTGATAAATAGCGATGACGCAGCAGTATGTATTTGGGTGATATTGGCCCAGTTCTTGTGGAAACTCATTAAAATTACCAATCAGATCGTGATATGAAGCATTTGTATTGAAGAGACAGGACGGGGTGATTATGGAGACGGGACAGCCTCTGGCAAGGCCATTAATATGGGTAGGTGTTGTCAACTCTCTATTCCTACACTTTATAGACTATCAGTTACTTACATCAAGGATAAAAGCAAGGATATGGGACATATTTGAACCGGTTTTATAAATACCAGGCGAGTTATGAAAAATGATTTAAACACAAGAGAGAACTGCACTTCATCATAAAGAAATCTTCACGCTGTACTGAATATTTATATCAACATATTTTCATTCCAAAGTAAATGTGACAGGCATATAATTAATGGACCGATTTGTAAACATGGACGGGATTCACCGAGACTATATGTAAATGTGATGTCCTAATTCTGTGTCGACGTATACGCAGCTGAATTATTATACGTACGTAACATACGTACGTAAGATAGGTACACATCATACGGCATTTCGTGTATTTTGTGCCAAAGTTTAGCTCAAATTTTGTAGGTCAAATAAAAAACACTTGGTAATAAACTAGATTGGAAACATAACACATATGGCATGTGATATTAAACCTTCGACATGACTGCATAGATAAGTAAGGGTTCATGAGGGTAAATACCGCTTTGAACTCTATTTTAGTTCGATATCTCTATATGTTTGCGTTTGACTTGCACCTCTTCGATTCATTATGTTTAGTAGGCGAACTGTAGGAGCGCTACAATATGCTGACTCCTGGATTCGAACCGTCAATCAACAAATCCCTGCAGCTTAGCACAGCGGAGATAATCAGAACCAAACACGACCTATGGCGTCGTCAGGAAACATTACAGATGTCACAGTTACCCTGGTATTCGAACGTTCGAGGTTTTGAAACGAGTTAAGAACAAACGAGATCCTGGCACGCTAAGGGACATAACTCTGTATCGTAGATATCTAGGCCACACGTCCTTCCTGCTGACGTGCAGCGCACTTCCAAGATCAGTGCTCGTGATGTCAAACTCTTGATTGCCTGGTCCAGACTCGATTGTTCATAGACCACCGTCACGTAGCCGGAATATATTGAGTCTGTCCTCAAGCAACAAACAAGTAGACTTACTTACATCTGGTACTTTGGGTGGTGGGGTAGCCTAGCTAGTGATTAAAGCGTTTGTTCGTAACGCCGAAGACCCGGGTTCGATTCCCCACATAGGTACAGTGTGTGAAGCCCATTTCTGGTGTTTCCCGCCGTGATGTTGCTGGAATATTGCTGAAAGCGGCGTAAAACCCAACTCACTCACTATTTCACTTTGACTCCCAAAACGAGATGCAGATATCTGGTACTCTACACAAGGAAGAACCGCAGCAAGTCTAGCTTGATCATAATCTTGCACAATTTACGGGTATCCAAATGTAATCGCGCCAACGACGTCCCTTTCATCCCGCCTCCCCTTACGACGTTCCAACATTCCGTGAAGCCAGGTCTATGAGGGAGGTCCAGTACGTCGTGATTCCCATTAAAACAATAGTCTCTCTCCGACCACGAAGACTGCTCCACGCAAGGACAAAACAAGCTGAATAGGCGAATCAGATAAGACGTTACCGACGCTGCATTGGTCTCCTTTTCACAAGGAAATATGTCTCTGATAATTGAAGTATTGTGGTGTAATGAACTATGCTCCACAAAGAGGCGGTAGCTATGATCGGGTCGAGGGAGGGTAACTGCTTTGGAGAGTCCGATTGTGTTGGACAATTCAGATACTTGCCCCCGATCTCGATCAGCTGTTTTCATTTAAGAACGTGACTTGATGGATCGTAGCATGGAGTAACAAGTGCGTGACAAAATTTCGACATTAGTCTGAAACTTGAGGCTACGTGGAACAACCAACAACATGTTAAGATACTCAGATGCACAACCAGTAAGAAGTTAAGATGCTAAGATTGTTTTCGTGTGGTATGTGTGAGAGACTTGACGAAACGGGTGTGTGGGTGGGTGTTGTGGTGTGGTAGGGTGGTGTAGTTGTTATCGTTGTTGTTCTCTCTTCAGGGATTCGAACCCACACCCTACTCTGATTCGCCTAATCGTTAGCAGGTTGTTTTATGTATAACCAGAGACCATATAATAGATGGTCTATTATATGGTCTCTGGTATGACCTTTTAGATAATCGAAGAGTGTTGATAAAATAGTGAACATTACCTTATGTTAGACCTTAGAATTTCTTTGATAGAACAATCAACTTCCCCCACCCCTCGCCACCCCATTCCATTCTGAACTTGGCTCTGGTAGCTTACACTCGCTCCCCTCACCCCTTCTCACACACCCACACCCACCCTTGTTCAAGGGGCGGTGGGGTAGCCTAGTGGTTATAGCGTTCGCTCGTCACGCCGAAGGCCCGGGTTCGATTCCCCACATGGGTACAATGTGTGAAGCTCATTTCTGGTGTCCCCCGACGTGATATTGCTGGAATATTGCTAAAGGCGGCATAAAACTAACACAATAACTCACTCACTCTGTTGTTTGCACCTAACATGATCATCTTGTACAACATATACTGGATAAAACAAGTTAGGGATATTGGTATTTTAATGATTGATATTTTATCAGTGTGTCAATGAATGAATAGATAATTATTCAAAATTTTAAATTTACATATATCTATTTTTGTCCAGTATAGTTATATCGCAGTGGACAACGTTAATAACGAGATACCTCAAGCCGACTCCAATTAGCTATAACCGACTCTCCACGGACCAAATCATGACACAGTAAGGATGAACCTAATTCTAGTTAAATTGGTGGAATAGTGTCTGTGAAATTACTGTGTAACATGACCTCAGTCTACACTCAGTCAGTTTAAAGATTCACATGAAATCCGCTCTACCCCGTCCGCTCAAAACCTCGCATGCTCATTAAAAGAAATCCAAGTTACCCTACAACCGAAACACAAGGCGCAGGAAGGGGATAATTTGTTCCCCCAAATTGTGAAATAAGATGAAAAGCTTAGACGATGTGGATAGTGTTTCGCCAAAAGACTTCTTCCTCCGTCGACCCATCATTAATGAAGTGGACCAATCTTGAATTAACTGATGCCCTTCTCGTATCAGTACCCGTATCAAGGCTCCTACTAGGGACGTTATATCATCCCGGGTAGGCTTTGGGTATCATTCTCCTTAGACTAAAGTCCTTTGAAGTCCTTGTTAGGTTTAAGTGAGGTATTTAACGGGTGTTTATAGTGCTTGTGGAGGTCCCTGTTGGCGCATATCTTTTCGGGGATCGCTTCAGATGCTCGCTATCACATATCGCGTTTCCACCTCCCACGGGAAGGAAGGAGGCAAATAGGATTTCTATTTCTATGTCGTTTAAATGTGTTTTGTTAATTGCTTTATCTTTTTACCTGTTCATCGATGAGATTGTGGATGACGTCACTGGTGTTTACTTCCTTACATGGTAAACTGTGTCACGTGATTGCAGACATACTGAGATCGTTGATTGTGTAATTTAGACAGGTAGAGTTTCTTTGTTGGAAGTGTATCCTATGTGGGTCTTGGTAGATGTGTAATGTCTACGAGTATACGAAGTAATAAGATCTTGTCAGCTGTAGAGCTTAACATTGACACGAGCCGTCGTTTGTCTAAAAAATACAGAGAGAAAAATTTTGTGCTTGGCTGTCGAGTTACGGTGAAGGACAGGGCTGTATTCTGAAAGAGGTAGGGGAGATTGTCACATGATACAAGACCTCTATCATGCAGCTTGGGTGGTATGATTCCCAGGGAGCTGAGTATGTAATTTAAATGCACAGTGACGCATTGACGGGTAATATGTATATAACGTCATGAGCATGCTTTGGGGCTTGGACACGGTTAACTACAACATAGTAATGATGATGATGATGATGATGATGATGATGATGATGATCACGTGTCATGATGAGATGATCGTCATCATCACCATCATCATCTTCATCATCGTCACCATGCGTTAGGGCTTGGACACGGCAAACTACAAAACAGTAATGATGAGGATCATGTGTCATGATGAGATGATCGTCATCATTCCCATCATCATCATTATCATCAACATCCCCATCATCATCGTCGTCATGCGTT